ACTGTTCTAGAAACAAGAAAAAAGACTTGACGCACATTTAAAATTGTAATTGCGTGAAGGTAATTCGAATGGTTAGCAAATGCTAACAGCAACTGCATGTTGAAAGGCTATTGACTATTTTATTGATAAGGCTGTCAATGGCTTCATTTTCGTCTGGTTGCTTAAAGGCAAATAGGATTACTGTTTTGTCTTCCACCATCAATTTACAACCAAAACGATTAAACTAGTCGTAGACAGTTTTCTGCTACGGTGAAGAATTGAAACTCCCACGCTGATGAGCATAGTGTAATATAATAAAAATAATGCACACCACAATGCTTGAACTACCGAGAATTCCAGAAAAGCAGCTATGGTTATCGCGGCGTAGAAAACTTTCCACAGCACATTAAACTACTACTGGTCCTTTTGAAGGTACTTTTCGCAGTGAAGTTTCGGCGCAGCATAAAGTGGGAGCAATTTATCTCGGAGTGTACAATGGCATCCTGTTTTCTTATAAAATTAGAAGTGAAGATGAAAAGATTGCTGAAATTTTATATGCAATGTTCCTCCGGAATAAAGCTGATCCTAACGGTAATTTATCACATTTGAGTTGATAATACTGTTATTTGCAGTGACTAAATATGGTGCTTGGAGATAAGAGACTGATGTAAATATCATGTGTACCGATGTACATATTGAACGACAGTTTGTGTTTTACACCTTAACTTCAGTGGAAACACAAACAGACAGAGCACAGTGTGTAAGCAGGAGACATCATTATAGTCTCGTATCCACCACCTAAGATTAGAATAAAAAAAAATTATTGAGAGAAGGAAAGCAATAAGTAGTGAAAGATAAAATGAAAAAAAAAACGATTCATTTTAAGAGGGCATATTGCTTTGATATTTTAACCAGCTATACTTCATTCGTCATTTTCCAGCTACGCAACTGGCAACTAGCTGCTTTGACCAATGCTGCCCCATCACCCATCTAAGCAACTGGCTTGCAGGTAATTTTGACGTTCTTTCCGTTCCCTGAGGACACTCCAGCTCAGCGATTCTGTCACTGGAAGCATTTAGCAAGGCCTCAATTGCACTGGTTTTGTGTTAGGTACCAACTCATCTCTTCCTCTGCTGCTTTTAGGCTATAGATGAGGTACCTTATCGAATGAGAAACATTCGGAAGCATTATTCAGATTTTTTTTTTCTTCAAAGCTTGTGAATATATGTTGCTCTGCTATTTCCTGTAATGATTGCCCGCATCGCATGCATTTTATATGCATCACTAACAGTTTACCCATATATATGTGAACCATATATGTATGCATATTCATATATATACATATATATATGTATATATATATAATACGTATACACTCATATGCGGGTAGTTGGACTGTGAGACAGACGCAGATTTATATGTAATTCAGTGCGGAGAGAACACTTGAACAAATTTTACATCAGTTCCCTTATAAAAATAAATTTACTAATCTTCTGAATACAGAAATGAAATGGCCGCATAATGATCAAAACAATTTCAAGTGTTAATGGCTGAAATTTTTAGCTGAGCTGCAAGAAGGCGAAACGATACATGTTTTTTCCATGAATGGCAAGGAAGCAATTGTGGTGCGCTGTGGACCAGCCAAAGTTCACTACGGCATTTATGACACGAACCCAAAGTATACTTGGGTTTATTCGCCAAATTTATCACATGTCACAACTTAATGAGCGATACGTGAAACTCGTCCACAGCCAAAACCAGTTGACATATTTTAGCAACGTATCTCAACTTTTTTTTTTGCTTTGCAATACCTGTTCTCTATTCCAGAAGCACTCTCAAAAGCATCTACTTATCGCGCTCATCAATGACGGAAGTGAAGGGTCTAACCAACTGCCAGCGAGCGGATTTTGATGCAGCAAATGCCAAACTCATCATTTATATTGACGCTGAAAAGGCCATCCAATTTCCAGTCGCAAGAAATTTGACCGCCTCAACTGAAACTCTGCAAATTAGCAAAGTGGTATGAACACGCACATATAGCACATTTATTGTTTTTGTGC